GGTGCTCGACTACCACTACAGCGGCGCCGGCACGGTCGAGTCGCCCTACATCGTCGACTTCCTCCCGCAGGACTCGCGCAACCCGATGCAGTACCCGGCCTGGAAGAAGTGGACCATCACGGGCCTGCAGGCCATGGCCACCCTCGCCGTCGCCTTTGCCAGCACCGCCTACTCGGGCGGCATCTTCCAGGTCATCCGGGACTTCAAGATCGACACCGAGATTGCGATTCTCGGCATCTCGCTGTTTGTCATGGGGTTTGCGGTTGGCCCGCTTTTGTGGGCGCCGCTGAGTGGTATGTTTTGTTTTTGTTTACTTGTTTACGGATAAAAAGGGGTAACGAGAATGTGCGTGTAAGAGGCTAACATGAGAATTTGTTGAGTTGAATAGAATTCTACGGCAGACAGATCCTCTTCTTCGTCACATACATGGCGCTGACGGCGTTCAACGCCGGCGCCGCGGGTGCGCAAAACATCCAGACGCTTGTCATTCTCCGCTTCTTTGCCGGCGCGTTTGGCTCGTCGCCCTTGACCAACTCAGGCGGTGTCATTGCCGATATGTTTACAGCAAATGGTATGTCTCAGACGCTTCTTGTATTCTCTCTGAATTATCATACTAACTTACTTGTTCCAGAGCGCGGCATCGCCTCGGGCGTCTTCGCCACCGCCCCCTTCCTCGGCCCCTCCATCGGCCCCATCGTCGGCGGCTTCCTCGGCCAGGCCGAAGGGTGGCGCTGGGTCGAAGGGCTCATGGCCATCTTCACCGGCGCCATCTGGATCGCCTGCGCCTTCTTCGTGCCCGAGACCTACGCGCCCGTCCTCCTGCGCAAGCGCGCCGCCAAGCTCTCCGCCCTCACCGGCAAGGTCTACCTCTCCAAGATGGACGCGCACAACAAGAAGACCAAGGTCGAGCAGATCAAGACCGCCCTGTCCCGCCCCTGGGTCCTGCTCTTCTGCGAGCCCATCGTCCTGCTCACGTCCATCTACATGGCCATCGTCTACGGCACGCTCTACCTCATGTTCGCCGCGTTCCCTATTGTCTTTCAGCAGTACCGCGGCTGGAGTGCGGGGGTGGGTGGGCTCGCGTTTATCGGTGTTGCGATTGGCATGATGATGGGCGTTGCGTACGCCATGTTCGATAACCTGCGGTACATGCGCGTCGCGGCGAAACACGGCGGCGCCGCCCCGCCCGAGGCGCGCCTGCCGCCTGCCATGGTCGGCTCCGTCCTGCTGCCCGTCGGCCTGTTCTGGTTCGCGTGGACGAACGGGCCCGAGATCCACTGGGCCGTGCCGATTGTTGCTTCTGCCTTCTTCGCCGGCGGGTTGGTCCTCGTGTTCCTGTCGCTCATGGGCTACCTCATCGACAGCTACACCGTCTTCGCCGCGTCGGTGCTCGCGTCCAACTCGGTGCTGCGCTCGCTTTTCGGTGCCGCGTTCCCCCTGTTCACGACGTACATGTACAAGAACCTGGGCATCCACTGGGCGTCGACGATCCCTGCGTTCCTGGCGCTCGCGTGCGTGCCGTTCCCGTTCTTGTTTTATCGGTACGGCGCGCAGATCAGGGCGCGGTGCAAGTACGCGGCCGAGGCGGCGGCGGTGCTGGCGCGCATGCGGGCGCAGCACGAGGTGGTGATTGACGAGGACGAGGCCATGGCGACGATTGAGAAGAGGGATACGCTGCGGAGGGAGATGTCGCGGGTGTCGAAGCAGATGAGCCGTGGCCAGGGTGGTGGACATCATAAGACTACTCGCTCGGCGGATTTGGAGGCTGTGTTGAGTGATGATGAGCATACTATGATGGGACACAGTAGTGATGAGGGGGGTAATAAGGAGTATATCCACGAGAAGGAGTAGTGGGTTGGTTCGCTGGTTGTGTGTCGGTGTGTTTGGTGGGATAGATAATATAGAGATAATACCTTGGGTAGTTTTGCATAGAAATGGTTGGTTCGATACTTAGGATATAGCATATAGCGTAGTCGGTTCTGGTTGTTTAGATGGGGTTGTCTGGACTCAGAATAGATGGACGGCTGGTTGGGCCAGGCTCGGTTGAGTGTGTCTGGATATACAGACGTATAGACATGGTGGTTTTCGTGTATATATACCCACGGACATATATCTCGTCTTTATTTAATGTAATGACTACATCGGCCATTGATTGTTAGACAGTGTGCTCGAAAAATTCGCTATACTATGCAGTCTCGAAATACAAGCAAGTTATCCTAGCTCAGCGTGAGTAGGTATTCAGCAAATAGCAATGCGCCCGAACCTCACAATACGAAACCACTCGTGATTCCCCTGTATGCCAATCAAGTATCTCTAATCAAAGTAATCGTTGGAAACGACCACCCGAAGTCGACTTATTCCTCGCTGTTTCGATCGTTTCCTTAAACTCTCGATACAGCGCCTTGATGTTGCCCTGGGTCTGCCACTTCTCGAGTATCTCGTCCACGAGCTTGTACTTTTGCTTCGGTTTCATCTTGACCCGCGCCTTGAGCTGCTTGGCCGTCATGTATCCGTCGCGCTCCAGGGTAGCGTCAACCCAGTCCAGAAGCGCGTATTTCCAGTGTATCAAATTATGGGCCGTCTCGGCATTGCTGTTGCAAACTGATCCAATAAACCACTGCTTGCTCTCTTTGGGGATGCGGTTGCCGTCTTCGTCCTCATCTCCTTCTTCTTCGTCTGCAGCGCCGTTGTCTTCCGAGTGCGATTCTGGCTCTATAGGCTCGAGGAAGGTTGGGGAATTCGCGCTCTTTGTGTAGGCTGAGCCTGAAAAGCTCATGATCCATCTAAAGATAATATCAGCATGTGTCCTGAAATGCGAAATTGTGGAAAAATACTACTCACTTGGCTGGATGACCGCTCCGACCACAAGCTCCGCAATTCTCAAGCTCATTCACATCCCCTCGGCCCAGCTCCGTATTAGTAAAATACGGCCTTGCACGCAACGCCATGAAGAAGTCCTTCTTCCAGGCGGCTGACGCAAATTTGGACTGCGCCAACCCGCGCACTTCATCATCGAGCTTCTGCCATGCGATCATGTAGAGTTGGTGATTCTTCTCAGGAAAGCCGGGGTTGACTTTGAACTGCACCAGCCACTCAACGACATCTCTGAAATGGTCTTTCAACGGCTTGTGCGAGTGCGAGGTAAACTGGAGCGGGATATCCAGCGCGTCATCGGGCACTCCTATGGGGTCGTCACCATCATCCACAACAAAATCATCACTTTCCTCGCCTGAGTCAGCCAAGTGATCCTCGCCGTGAGCTGACTTGGCATTCTTGACCTTCTTCTCGGATGATTTACTCTGTTTCGAAGTTTCGAGATACCCGTGATCGGGAACCCCTTCGTCATCATCTTCAAACTCGCTCAGGGCGACATTGTCCGAGTCGGTATCGTATAAGCCTTTTGCCTTCTGAGCAGGTTTCCATGCCAACTCGTCATCGTCGTCGTCATCATTAATAACTTCGCCCGCCCGCTTGCGTCGAAGTAGCTCCCTGGCCTTCTCTTTCTTGGTGAGCGGTTTCCGCGATGGTCTGGTGGAAGATGGTGGCGGCGCGATATCACTGCTCGGGGCGCCGTTGTGCTTGGCCGGACTTGACATGTTTCCTCGAACAAGCCGCCTCTTTTTGATGGGCGACGAGACTTCTAGCGCAGGTAAATCATCATCATCGCTGTCATCCAGAATTTGAATCCTCTTGCGACCCAGGCGTCTGTTGGAAGTAGGCGTGACGAGCGGCTTATCATCATCGTCGTCGTCGTCATCATCGCTGTCATTCTTCACAACTAAGCCCTTTTCACGACCAAGACGTTGGGTGGATGAAGGCGCAACAAGCGGTTTGTCGTCGTCGCTATCATCCTCGGAGGAGGAATCTACAGCGACGACAACGCGGCGTTTCTTTGAACCAGAGCTCTGCATGAATGAGGCTGGTGGGCTTTGGGGCAATAGGGGCGAGCTGGACCGCTTGAGCGCCTTTGCTGGAGAGCTGGACCCAGCATTCACTTTAGGCGTCTTTATCGTGGCTCTAACCCTTGACCTGCCTGTAAGTCGTGTTAGAAGAGATGTGTGCAAAGCAGCCAAGTCCAGTTTGTAATGACTGGGCCTTACCTAGTGTGGCCTCTAATGTTTGCTGCTGTGGTTTCTTCGGACGAACCATCTTGAGAGTACCGGGGTTTGCTTCTGATTAGGATGTTTGCCCCGGGCGGTACCAGTTCTCAAGCTATAAAAATAGCACGTAAGTTTGTAGATATAAATCAAATCGAGCTGCGCACGCAGCAAGCAGATGATGCGGATTCTACTTTGTAAGATGCTTAGAATAGACCGTGGTCCACTTCACGATGGGAACCACCGCCAAAAGTGACCAGGATGTCTGGGATTCAGAGCGGCAAGCAAACAAGAGATGAGAGGAAAATCCGTCTCAAAAAGATGCCACGTAAATTAAAACATGTTATGATGGCAAGCGTGATAATTCTTTAACAACAGAAGTTTGCAAGTGAGCAAGGATTCAAAAGAAAGATGACGGGAAGATGCATAGATGCCACCACTTGGGACGCGTAAAGTGAAGTGCAGACACGGGCTGGTTAGCGATAGAAGGCGCGACCTCACGTGGTACATACCTAACTAAGAAAGTGGCAAGAGCGGGCGGGGTGGTGGGCTTGCTGCGTATCTACACAAAAGCCGCCTATGGTATAGTGACATTACAGTGTTAGGCTCGATATTACACAGTACCTACCTTCTATCCATTCCCTGCGTATTCTGGGCGCCCGTTTTGCTTTTGGCTAGCTTCTTGAACTGGGTTGGGTGAGCAAAATCTGGCCCCGGTCAAAACCGTTGGACTTTTAAACATTCAATGACGCACAGTAAGCAGAATAAGAGCTGTGTGTTCATCAACTTCTTGATCCTAAAAATACAAATAAATGTAGTGAAAGAAAGTACACCACAGAGCAGCCCAAAGCAGAAAAATAAGAAAAAAGAAAAGTACTGAAGTACTGGCGTCGCCGGGAATTGAGCCCGACGTGGGGGTCGAACCCACAACCTTGAGATGGTCTTGGTTCGATGAGGATCACTCTTGATCGTTATTAAGAGTCTCACGCTCTACCGATTGAGCTAGCCGGGCAGATTTTGCTTTGCTTCGCCAATTGGTGTTGGTTATTGGGATGTGGTGGAGAAGGTATTATGAAGGGACGGGAAAGTTTGTTTTTGTGTTGTGGATATCACCATGGTTCAAATATTCCGGCTTATCGAGTGGATGCTGGATATAAAAAACATGATTATGAGAGTACCGTTTGCCGTCCAGCTGGTAAAATAGGTAGTATAGGTACCTCAACATAAAAATAGCCTATCTAGGAGATGGGTAAGGTAAATCGACTATCATGCCCCGTACATCCATCCACCCGCTTCGTTTTCCTTCCTCTCGCACATGTATCTTGTAACCTCATCGCCTTTTGTGACTTCCCCCCCGCACTCCATACAAAATAAATATAATAGGCCATGGCCAATCACCACTACCACCTCGCTGTACGCCCCCAATGTACTCCACATATGAACAAGCTATTGTGTAAGGGAAACAAGAACAAAACAGGCATGTACAACTATCCAACCACCCACACCCGAGTACAAGTTGGTAGAACTAGAGACGAAACGAAACGTTAAAAATAAATAATATGAAATAGCATTGAAAGATACATCTCTAATAACTAGAGTAGTCACAAAAGGTATTTAGATACCTAGTAGTAATAGCCATGAGAAGTAGGCATACAAGTACCATAAATGTCAACTGAAAAAAAAAGGTGTATGAAGTGATGAACAGCATATTGCTAACTAGGCAAAAACAACAGATATATATCCTCTTGATATTGAAATACTGCGCTGTGCTGCGACAACACTTCCTGCTCCTAAAACCAAAATGGTCCTTCATGTTAGATAGCGTAGCGTAGAAAACTATCCACCCACTAACATCTAAACAAGAACCATTTAACAACGACAACGACAACGACAGAAAAGCCCCTTTCCTCCTTTTACCTGCTGAATGCGCTAAGCCGGCCAACTAGACTTAGATCGATGTTTCCCCATCTCCCACCACCACATACTTTTCGCCCATGTAGAAAACGACAATAATACAACATTTGAATGTGTAATAGCTTACTGGCAGATGAATCAATCTGTTCATCATAATTGATATAGACGGAGCCAGCGCCGGGTTGAGGGTGTCCCGACCTGGGGGGGGGGGGGGGGGGCAATACCAACATAGCCAAGAGGGATAAGAGGAGTGGAAAAGTTCACCACAGCCCAACCGCCAGATCGGGCTGATGGCGGTTGATGGGTGCTGTGCGTGACGATGAGAAGTCACCTCAGAAGAGCGGGAGCAAGAGGAATCCTTCAAAAAGTTGCATTCCACAGCTCCACACGCTATACAAACCACTCACACTCGTCTCCCCATTCCAAACTCCACAGACACGTATTTAGTGCAAAATAGCCCTCATACAATAATGCTACTACTGCTGCTGCGGCTGCGTAAACTGATGCGCGGAGCAGGGGGATAGAGGCAGCCGCCCGCCATGCAAAATTGGCAGGCCGATCTCGAGTAAGTAACCAAGGCCGGCCGGGCCGATATATAAAAAAAGAGGTAAGCAACAAAAAGAATTGTGCCATATAAAATCATCACCAACAACGACGACGACAACAACAAGAACACCAACACCTCATATGATGCCTCCCGGCGGGTCATACCCTGTTGCCGCCCCGCGAGCCGTAGCCCCCAGGCCAGCGCTCCCGGGTGCGTCGGCCGAAGGGTCCAGTTGCGCATTCGTCGTTTTCCTAAGCATAAACATGGGCTTCTTCCCTTCCTTATCCAGTTGCTTAAACAGGATGAGCGGTTTCTCTTCGAGTCCCAAGCATCGCTCCTGGTCTCCATAGACGATGTACAGTGCATACTGGTCCCATGGCGCGTTGATTTGGTACTTCTTGAGCGCGGCAGGAAGAACTTTATAACATGGGTCATCCATGCTCACGCGGAAGGATTTGAAGATCTCGACAGAAGCATTGCTCGCGGTGCTGGGAGTATCGGGGGCTGGTGTCTGCATCCGACGAGGCGCACTCGTCTTGTCGCCGCGGGAGCTGTATTGGTCGTTTTCGGAAAAGGTGGAGCGGCTCGAAGGTGTGGGCTGGTCTGCGCGGTATGAGCGCGATGCAAGGGTAGCGCCTGTCCCGCCAGTCGTGGGTGGGGAGGTAGGGGATGGCATGTTCGGAGACGGGTAGGATGGAGATATTGTGTTCGCGCTGGATTGGCCGTTCATGGCCGCCAAGTGCGATGACGACTGCACAGCTCTCTCGGCGGCGTTGGTGGGGTCTAGGGTCTGTTCTACTATTGAACGGTCGTGGGTCGTTTGAAGATATGTTGGCGAGCTCGTCTTGGGGGTTGTCCCAAGCATGATCTTCTTTGTCGAGTACTGACGCTTCAGACCACCACCAGATTGGCCGCCGGCTGATAATGATGGTGTGGGCGCCGGGGGCGATAAGCTGCTCTCGTAGCTCTGGCCGTTGGAGACATTTGGCAGGGGCTGTTGGGCATCCTTGACCAGCCGGAGGGCTGGCAGCATATCCTCCCTTAACCTCCTGAAGTCGTCGCTTAATCTGCGGAAATCTTGCTCGAACAGGTTTATTCGTTCGTCCCGTAGGCGCAACTGCTCTACCAGGTGCTTGATGTCTTTTAGTGTCGCGTTTGCCGATTGCGCTTCGGTTTCAGCGGCTAAAGAGCGACGTGTTAGAATAAACAGTGTGTCTATGTCAAGGCAAGCAGGCAGTACAATTGGTAGCAAGACGTACTGAGTGGCATGTAGTGGTCGCTCTCGATGGGGACGTCCTGGGCTTTCTTGACATCATAAACGGACTTCAAAATGGTCAGTCGGTGGCCGACACTTGTGATGCCCATTTGTTTAAGATCGTCATGCAGCAGGGCAACCAGGGCTTCTCCAACTATTTCATTTTCTGTAAAAGGTGTCAGTCAAATGCGACGGCAACTAAAATTGGAGGTGCACACGAACCTATGATCCTGTCGGAATATTGGTGTAGGCCAATGGTGGCTATAAAATCGGCGCACTCCTCGGCGGACCACTCTGAGATGATTGTCTCGGGTAGGCGGTCGGCGCTTGAGCGGTAGCCATATGATGTGGGGGTGTGTTCGTTAGAGGGAGGGTCCGAGTCGATGGGGGAGGTCTCGACATCGGTGTGGTCGACGGGTGAGCTTCCGTGAATGTCTCTCTCGTACTCGTCGTCGGCGTCCGACTCTGCGTAGGCGGTTCCCGAGCCGAAATTCATCATGGCTGCTCCGTGTGCAGAGCCCTCACAGCCGGGGCTGCGAGAAGATGCGGGATATCAGGTCGCAACGTTCAGGGAGGCAGCCGTCGAGGCAAGAGGACGACTCGAGACCGGCAGCGGGCGGCAATAGTCGTCTAAGCCGTCGACATGGGGGACCTTAATTACAAGCGAGTTCGGATGAAGAGGCAGGTGCGGAAATGATGGGTGTTTTGAACAAATACGGAAACAGGCTGTCGTTTGATTGAGAAGCGGCGGCAGCGGAGGCGGGCGGCGGTAGCAACGACGACGACGACGACGACGACGACGATGGCGACAGTAAGGAGCGACAAGTTGGTAAAGTGGGAAGCGAAGCTGCAAGAAGGCTGGGGGCGCTGTTTTTGCAGTGTCGGGATGGATAAGCTCGTACAGGACAATAGCAACAGATAGGATCAGCGGCGGAAAAGGGGAGCTGGCAGCAACGTGCTGGCGACGGGAGACGGGGGACGGGAGACGGGATCGACTCGACACGATCTGGGCTGCCTGGGTGGTGGACGATGGGTGGACGATGGATAATGAGGTGGATTAGGTGGAGGTGGTGGAGGTACTCCGTACTTACTGTACCTAAACTACCTAACTGGTTAGTGCGCCCTGGTTGTTGATTGCGGACGGGTCTCTTGTGTGCAGCCGTAGCCGCTCGCCTGTCCGCTGGTGGTGGGCCGTGGCCGCCCAGATCGTCCCAGTTGGTCCTAGCGCCAAGGTACCTCGATGCCTATGGGGCAAATTTGCCATCGCTTCGCTGGCTTCAGGCTGGGCAGCCACCCGAGCAGCCACCAGATCCCGACCACTGCAACTCAACCTGACTCCCCTGAACTGAGCGCCCCCGCTACGACTGACTGGTTATCACTAATGTCCCCGCGCTGTCCATTGAAATACCACCACAATTCCCGACCAAGAAGGATTTTTTATTACCTGGTAGTTGCGCTGTTTATTACTCTCCTATATTCTGTCGTCATCGGCAGTACCGCCCTCACCATGTGTCAACATCTTCAGACCACGACGACTGGGTATTGTTTGGGCTGAACATGGATCATCCCTTTCCACGGCGGCCTATTCGTGTCTTCGCGGTATTAGACGCGTCGACCAATCAAGATGTGTAGCTTCACTTATAGGGCACCCATGTCAGAATCTCCTTCCAAAAAAACACCCCATGAGATACCTTCATAGGTACACGTAGTAAGAGATGAATTGTTCTGTCCAAGGTGACATGCAAGGAATCTACGGTAATTAACCCTCTGCACCTCACCTATTCAGTACCTCGGTGGCTCCTCTGCCTGCTCGCCCGGGCCTCGTCATTCCCGTGCCGCTGCGGAACTCTTGCTACCCGCGGCAGCGGACGACGGACAGTGAGGACACAACCCTCCACACCAAGACCCCGGGATGGAAGAGTGTAAAAGGAAGCAATGGAACATTACAGCCCCTTGTCCTTGCCTACACTTCGAGTCTAAAGTTCAACCCCTTTTCCGACCTCGTCCCTAAGTAAGGCCGTTAAACGCTTGACACCTCTCTTTCGGTTCTAATTTTCCAATGAAGGTATCCATCACGATCCCGATATCTCACCCGCGCATCGGGAATGACGAAAAAGAAAAGAAAAGATAAAAAAGTAGCATGTACCTATGACGCGCGTCCTGAAGAGAAAGAGAGGCCGCCTTCAAGGCTTCCTTCCCCCTCCCCCTCATCCACCACCCCTCCTTTCAAAACACAAACCCCCCAAGAAATCCTCTCAACCATTTGAAACAGTCGACTCGAGCCACCATACAGCCC